TGTGTCTGATCATGTGGCATTTGTGCTTTTTTCTATTTTGTACTTTTTTTGTACTATTTTGTGCTTATTTTGTACTTTTTTCTATTTTGTACTTTTTTTGTCTAATCATGTGGCTTTTTGTACATTGATTAGTTTTTATATCAACCAAATTTGCATTCCTGGAGTAAATTCACTTGATCATGGTGCATAATCCTTTTAATAAGCTGCTGGCCTTATTTTGCTGGTATTTTGTTGAGGATTTTCATGCCTATATTCATAATGGATCTTATTCTACAGTTTTCTTTTCTTGTTCTATCTTTGGTTTTCATATTAGGTAACCCTGTCCTTATAGCCTAACTTGTGGACATGTTTCTTCTTTTGGGAAGAGTTTCTGAAGTATTGGTGTTTTTCAGTGTATTTTTCAATACAATCTAGCTCTGTTCTACAATGTAAAAAGCAAAAAGTGAGAAGGAGGGACCCTTTTGTCATCTGTGCTTCTAGATGTTCTCATCTTTGCATGATGCCTGAGTTTATGGTAGCCTCCTTGGACATAAGAGGGCAGCCATCCCAAGTCAACAATGTAAGGAGGGCAGAACAGAAAGAAGGAAAAAACCCCAATTCTTTATGAGCAGTTGAATAATTGACACTGCAGCTCCTGTTTCCAGACCTCTTATTATGTGAGGTAACGCCTACCTTTGTTGTTTAAAGGTATTTGCAGCAGAAGGTATCTGTCTGATAGGCACTGTATCCTTTGCAACATACCCTGGTGCCTTCATTGTCCTCCAGTTTCTAGAGATCACCAGTTATGCCTGCAGAAAAGCACCCTGAGAGGAACTTGACAGTCACTGGTTTTTGTGTAAAAGAAATCAAGCACACCCTCAAGGTTACATGGACTACAACTACCTGGAACATTTAACACTATAGAGGGGTTAACAATTTTGCCCTTTGTATGTGTGGTTAAAATGCAGGACCCATTGGGCTTGAGGAGACATGCATTTGTCTTAGTCACTTTCCTCTTCTTTGAGCCCCAATACCTGATACACACAACTTAAAGGAAGAGAGGATTACTTTGGCTCACAGTTTGTAGAGGTTCCAGTCCATAGCATTGGCTGGCTCCAAAGCAACATGGCACAGTAGAGGGGCCAGGCTAACGAGAGGTGCTAATCACATGGTCCCAAAGAAGCAGAGAATAGTCAAAGAAGGTCCGGAGAAGGGAGATAAACCCTTCTAGGCCACAGCCACAGTAACCACTACTTCTCACTTGACCCTATCTTTAATGGCCAGTTAGCTACGTCTCCATAATCCTATCACCTTTCAAAAGCCCCACTTTTGAGCTCTAGTGGCTTTGGGGAGACATCCAGATATAAACCCAAATTGTAATGACACCATAGCCTTGTGGATTAATAAGGGTTTTCCAGAGGGATGGAACTGAGATCCCTCTGAGATGACCTCCAATTCCCACCTCCTGTACCTGCCCTTTTCAGTTGCCCCTCTCCACAGGGATGGGTTCCAGAACCCCACCGTGGACACCAAAATCTGTGGATGCTCAAGTCCCTTACTTAAAATAATGTTGTATTTGCATCTACCCTACATCCGCCTATATACTTTAAAATTTAAATCATCTCTAAATTATGTATAATACCTAATACAATGTAAGTGCCATGTAAGTAGTTGTTATATATATTGTTTAGGAAATAATGACAAGAAAAATGTCTGTTTATGTTCAGTGCAGACATAGAGTTTAGTTTTCAAATATTTTTGACTCATGGTTGGTTGGATCCTTATATATGAAACCCACAGATAGAGAGGGTGAATCATGTGGTCCCTTTCCCATCCCAAGTGTGGATGGGACTGCGAATGAATATCACAGAACAAAGCCAAATACATTTTACAGACATAAATAAGGTTTCGAGTCACTAGACTTTGAGTTAGTCAAGAGAAAGATGACCGATCCTAAGTGGGCTTGGCCTAGTCAGGTGAGCCCTTAATCAAGACTAGATCTTTCCTATGTATAATTTTGAATTTGAGGATTTGTCAAGAGGACCATTGGTCAAGGGCTTGAGAGCAGCCTGCAGGAGCTGATGATCATCTCAGGCTAATAGGTGGCAAGAAAATGGAAACTTCAGTTGCATGGCCTCAGAGAAGTGAATTCTGCCAATAACCTGAGGGATATTGGAAGTGGAACCTTCCCTAGTTGAGCCTCCAAGGGAAGATGCACCTGGATAACAAGCTGCGTTCAGTCTTGTGATACCCTGAGCACAGAATCCCATTATTACTAGGTTTGTGGTAATGTGTTACAGAGCAATAGAAAACTCACACAGGTACCATTCTAAACATCACTCCTTTATGTTAGGAAAAGATGTTAATGATCGACAAAGAGAATTTGTGCAAAGCGATGTTTGACGGCTCAGGAATGGCTTACATGAAATGCCCCAGCAAATTGCCTTTTCTTTGTTATCATTAAACTGGACACATCTGATGAGACCCTGGCTAAGGGCTAGGGGATAAGTGTTTTATCTTCCCCCAGGCAGTTGCCCACATGTGGTCAGTCCTGGAGAAGCCAGTGCACCTTGTCCTGGCCCAGGAACAACCGTGGTCAGTGGAAACCACAAAAGCATCTCTGGCTTGTATGGATTCTGGGTTCCTTCTGTTGAGTAGAAATCTATTCCAGGAAAGACCACCCAAATCAAAAAGATCCATGGCATCAGGAGGGATGCATAAAAATAGGAATATAATATCTGTTGGAATATTTTCCCTTTATAGTATAAGTCATAGTTATTTCTTGAAACCTTATTACTCCATAAAAAGTGTGTGAGCAGGTCCATTTTGCTAGATAGGTTCATCTGTCCTACCACCAGAGTGGACATAATACATAGTTATTAGGTGCAGCACCTAGATCACGTCCTGTCTGTGTATTGTTAAACTATTTTTACAAAGTGACATTTAAAAAAAGATAGTCAAAGCTGCTGACCTTTTATTAACTTTACTTAAAAAAAGTCTGGAATTATTTTAATGTTATGAATTTATACAGAACAATTTTCTTTTCTTTCTTTATTTACTTTTTTTTCTTTTGGTTTGATGGGATCAAAGGTAGTTGTGTGCATTTCCAGCTTGAAGACAATTAAAAATAAGAGGCAGAGAAGTACCTTTTCTGTTGTTATTGCATTGATAATGAAAATGAGAGTCAGATGGAATTTTGTTTTCAAGTTTAAAAAATGTCCAGTCATTTGTGCAAATGGTTTAAAAGCCTTGAGATTTTAGGAATATGTACTTGCAATTATTCTCTTTTAATAATTAATTACTAATATGTTTTAATCACTGAGCACATTGTTTTGATCATTAAGAATTTACAATGTAAAGATTACTTCAAGGTCAAATTTCAAATGTTAATCATTTTAACCTAATGCATGTAAATCTCTACTGAATTCAGGTTAAAAATAAAAAGTAAGTCATTAATTTGTACTGGCATACTTACTGGAAATTGTCTTTTATTATTCTCTGCTATGGTTCAAGGTCATTTCTTTAATCTAACCTCAGAGCTGGATAGAGTCATCAGAGGAAAAATCATTCTTCTCCCTCTCTTTCTTTCCTTAAAAATACAACTCTCATAGGAGACCTCTTCTAACTTTCCTTTTCTCTTAATTGTTCTTATTTCATCTTTAATTATTTCTGCTGCTAGGATGGTGGTGTTTTTTTTCCTCTTAATTCTGAGAGCAGATTGTGTCACTGGATTCAAGATGCTTAGAATACTGAGAAATCTCAGCGTTATTTTCTGGCTCATGACTTTAGCTTGGTATTTGAAAACTTTGCAAGGCATCTTCTTTCTGAAAAAATAGGCATCCTGACAACTGCAGTCTCTGCTAGCTGTGTTCTGATCAAGGCTGTGTGGGGCAAAGAGTGGCCCCCCATGGGGCTTGAGTCCTGGTACCCTACTTATTGGTTCTGTGCAGTAAGTTTACACCCATCCTGTGTTCTTGCATCCTCATATAGAAAGTGGGGACAGGCAGAACCCCATGCTAAGGGGTAGTAAGTGTGATGGGAAGCTGTGTAGGGTCATCAGCTTCACCCACACTGGAGAAAAAATGTGGTTTATTTTGGCTGCAGTTGATTTTCCCACGAGCCTATTCCACAGGTCACTGGGTAGTATGTGGCTTTAGTCCCACCCAGTTTAAGTCTTAATATCATTCAATTTAAGTTAAAAAGCCCAATTCAATTAAATTAACTCCCTTAAGGGCCAGGGATTTAGCTCAGTGGCGCCGTGCCTACCTAGCAAGTGCAAGGTCCTGAGTTTGATCCCCGGTACTGGAAAAAAAAATAGCTCCTTTAGGCAATAAAGATAAATGTGCCCCAGTAACCTCCCCTTGTGTCTGTCCCTAAATGCCTCAGAGTGTGAGAAGGGGCTTGTCTGTCTACACATCTTTGTGCCCATGCAGGTTCTTCTTGTACACTATTCCCCCTCTTACCCACAGGGACATGTCCCAATATCCCAGACATCCACTTGAAACCATGGCTAGAACCCAAACCTACAGATACTATGCTTCTTCCCTTAATAAATGCCTATGATAAAGTTTAATTTATACATTAGGCTTAGTAAGCAATTAACACTAGTAATTAACAAAAAATAACAATTGTAGCAACATAATACAAATTATGTGATTGTGCGTGTGATCTCTCTCCCTCTCTCAAGATATCTTTTTATTCTACATTTTCACTTAAAGGAAGCACTTTATGGCTTCTTTTTAGCATATCCAAATGCCAACATTACCACCTTTGTGGCTTGGGGCTATTAGTATGTAAAAATAAGGGTTATTTGATGCCAAGTACTGCTGCATATACCACAACCGTCCATCTAATAACAGAGATGGCTACTAAGTGACTAAATGGGCAGATAGTATATACTGCATGGATATGATAAATGAAGATTTGATTCATGTCCTGGGTGGGACAGAATGGGATGTCAAGAGATATCATCACAACACTCAGACTGGTGCACAATTTAAAACTTAGGAATTATTTTTTTCTGAAATTTTGCATTTAATGTTTTGGATATGGCTGACCATGGGTAACTGAAGCCAAAGAAATTGAAACCTTGGAGGAGGGGGCTGCTGTAGTCTGTTCTGTGGGCTCAGATAATATCTCTCTGGAATACAGCCACAATCACTTCCTTGCTGCTTTTTGCTGCTGGCAGATCCCCGAGTCTTATTCTTTCCTGGCTCCAGGATGGGTATTATTTGGCCAGCTGGTTTTCAGTCCCATAGACCTAAAGTGGCCCATGGCAGCTGACTTTCAAGGCTTCCTTTTCGATAATCATGCTCTTTGGGCTGCTAGGTTTACCAGGATTTGTCCGTGCTGGGATATATATGGGCAGCCTGTCAAGTGCCTCTTTCCAAAACCTGCTATAGATTGGAAGGCCAGGAACCTCTGTCTTGAATATCCTCATTTGAAAATGGGACACCTGCTGGCTTGTCTTGACCTCCTGGCTCTGGCCTTTCTTTTCCTTACCACAATTCACTCAGGACCAGCAAGAAGCAGGTCCTCCCTTACTATGAACATTCCATGGGTTTGTCATTTGAGGTTGATTGTTGCTATGCTACAGGCAGGGTGAAAAGGCTGGGTATACATTCTCAGAGCAACTGCTCAGCCTGAAAAGCTAGCTCTGGCTGCAAAATCATCCTTTTGGTCCAGAATACATATCTCCTTGGTCTTTGTTTTTCTTCTATAACCCTTATCTTTTCCCTTGGCGGAGGAATTCTCTAAGACCACAGCAAAGAGAAAGGCAAAAGATAAAAGCACATTAATGCTCTTTAAAATTCTATCTTTGCAATGTTACATTGCATCCAGTGCAGCTTCTGGTTAAAACCCAATGAATATTTGTTGAATGAATGAATAATTATGATGAATGATTTCTTTTTAAACAAATAGACACCCCTTAACATTTTGGTCAACAGTAGACCACATGTTGATAGTGGTCCCATAACATCATATCACGTGTAACATCTAGCTATCTCGGTTTGTGTAAATAAATACACTCTATGATGTTCACAGAATGATGAATTATCTAATGATACACTTTTTACATTCCCCATATTAAGTGATGCATAACTGTATGTATTTCTCAAGCAGATCACTGGCAATTCATAACAGACATCGTATAGCCATTTTACCATGAAGAAATTATAAATCTTTGGTTAATTGTCAAATAAGTAACTCTGTAGTCGACAGAAAAGAGTTTTCTCTTTTCTCCATGAAGAGCAGTTATAAGAATAATAAATTTTTTACCAAAGCAAAAATTGTACTGGAGAAAGCTCAACAGGCGAAGAAGACTTTGTTCTGGCTACTGAAGTAGAGGAGAAAGACCAGAACTGAGTGTTACTCAACTCTCCTAAAACAAAGAACAGGTAAGCTTTTAAGGAATGGGGTGAGCTAGTGAAAAATACTGGGAAGTTGGGTGGGGAGGTTGATCCATAGAGTGTGTTGAATACAGCATGATTTCCCGAGTTTGCAAATGTTTTTCTCTGTGATTATTCCAGTTAGGTTTGCTGATTGGTACTTGTAAAATTAGGCTTCTACTCTGTAAGAAAGACTAGGAGGCTAGGTATAATTTTCCTTCATGATTAGATTTCAGAGATGGCTCTCAGGTTCTTGAGATATTCCTGGGTTGTAAAGTTGGCAAAATTGAAGATTTGTATATTTTAAAGTGGCAGAGAGAAATTTGTAAGTTTTCTAAAGAACATGCTGTTTAAGAAGTCAGGCAAAGTGGTGCATGCCTGTAGTCCCAGCACTCGGGAGGCTGAGGCAGGAGTATCATGAGTTCAAGGCCAGGTTGAGCTACATAGCAGTTCAAGGCCAGCCTGGACTACATAGTGAGACCCTGTTTCCATAAAAGCAGCAGCAGCAGCAGCAGCAACAACAACAATAACATGTTTTTCTAGGAAACATGTTACAAAAAAGAGAAATTGGGACCTAGAGTTAATAAGCTTGGGAAATTGGGACTTAAGAATAAGCTTGTCTTATGTTTAGTCAATCCGGAAGACGTATCAGGGCATCTTGGTTGTGTTAAACCAAGTGGACAAGTGGTTCTCACCTGGGAATTTGGTATGAATATAGTGTTTTTCTACTACTCTCTGTAAATATTTCTTAATGAAGTTAAATGTCATTGAATTAGTAATAGGAGAATGTAGCTAATGTTTTTATTTTGCTTTGTGGGACCATCATCGGGAATCAGAAAAGATATTGGGCAACAGTTTCTATCTGTGGAAGTCCTTCAGAGCCCCAGTCTCATTGACAGGAAGACATTAACCTTGGTTCTTCCCACTTGAAAGTAAGTATTAACAGTGTCATCCCAATTCTTACCTGCCACATTTGTATTGGATCAGGTGCTGTCTGCTAAAATATGTCACAAGTATACAAAGATCTTTTCTAAAAAGTCTGTACTGTGGGGGCTGGGGATTTAGCTCAGTGGTTCTGCCACCTGCCTCATAAGAGCAAGGTCCTGAGTTCGATCCCCGGTACCAAAAAAAAAAAATGTCTGTACTATGGACTATTCCTTCTTGTGTTTCTCTTATGGTTCCATACTTTTTTCTTTTTTAAAGAAATCGTGAGCTGGGGATGTAGAAGAAAGAAAGAGAGAGAGAGTGGGAGGAAGGAAGGAAGGAAAGAAAGAAAGAAAGAAAGAAAGAAAGAAAGAAAAAGAAAAAGAAAGAGAGAGATCTTCTTACTTTATAAAGAAGTTGGGAGATCTTCATCACCATGACTCCCCAGTATTAGAGAAGTTTAAAGAGGAAAACTTCATGGGAGGTTGGACGTTTTGGATAAAGGTATAACTGTAAAGAAAAAAAAACTGATTAAAAGAAAGTAGTCCAGTGCTGAAAGCAATGAAAAAATAACAAAGAATGAAAAGATAAATAGGAAATCTAAGCTAATTGTATTGGTTAGGCTAAGAAGGCACTGACACCTTTTCACTTTGATGATGTTCGCTGTGGAGCTACCAAAAAAGTTGAACACTGTGAGATTCAGAAAAATCTATTAGTAGGGGATAATTAAGTCAGTCTGAATTGGTTGCAGCTATATCATTTAACACAATTTTAGGACTGTTTCTAGCACCTTTCCTTTTAGATATCTTCTTGGCTACATTAACCCAGATTCAAAACAGATATTTACCAGTCCTTATGGAGTTTTATGGTCATTTATATTGATGAAGAAAAATAGTATCATGGACCTATAATTATTTAGCACCGGAAATCATACATTCCAAACAGCTAGTCATGTTTGGTGATTTGCACAGATTTTTGCATCTTAGATTAAGTGTCTTCTGGATTATGTTTCATTGTCTATTGAAATGCTAATAGCTAAGTACAGCAGTAGCAATAGTTTCTAATATCGTAAGGATGTTGAGTGAAAAACCCTCATCCTTTAATTATTAAAAGCTGCATCCACATTTTTCCCTCTGAGAAGCTAAATACAGGTGACTTCTAAGGTGTGTATTTTGTACTTTGAGACACTTTACCATTTGTATATAAAATAAATGTCTAAGGGTTTCTGATTGAAAGTCCTTTTAATTATATTAAAGAACAGAGATTACACCAGGCATGGTGGTACATTCCAGGATTTAGGAGGCTGAGGCAGGAAGGTCGTTAGTTCAAGCCCAGCCTGAGCTACAAAGCAAGTTCCAGACCAGTCAAGACTACATAGTGAGACCTTGTCTCAAGAAAACAAAACAAACAAAAACCAAAACTCCAGAGATTAGAGATAGAACCAATCTCTTCCTATGAACACAGAACTTTTTAATGTATAGTTTATAGTTGATTCATTTCAGAGGTATAATTTAACCCATGTTATTTGCACACCTATGATGTCAGGGTCAAATTATAACAGAGTGATACCTTAAACTCCTCCATCAATCTACACAGTTCTAATGACTGATTATGTTAATGTTTCTGGGATATTGTTTATCATAGGTTGAACTGTCTTCCTCTCAGAACTAACATATTGTAGCCCTAAATCCCCAACATAATTGTATTTGGAGATAAGGCCTTATCAAGATAATTAAGGTTAAGTGAGGTCATAGGGATGGGGCCCTAATTCATATGACTGTACCCTTATAAGAAAAGAGAGACACTAGAGTGCACAGATGAATGATGCTATGAAGACCCAGTGACAAGGCAGCCAAGGAGAGTGAGAGAGTCTTCAGTAGAAAGCAAACCAGTCAGCACCTTGATCTTGAACTTCCAATCTCCAGAACTGTGAGAACATAAAGACTGTTGTTTAACTCTTTCCCATGTCGAGTCTGTGGTATTTTAGTGTGGCAGCACTCACAAACTAGCAAATCCTTTTTCTAAGAAAAGAAGTGGTGGGCCATCATTTTAAATCCAAGGACTCAGGAAATTCCCTAACAGAGCAAAGCCACTGTGCAAATACTTAATTCCTTATCATATTGAAAACATCTTTTCCTTCCAGTAATTTGCATCTGAATTATAAGTTTCCAGAAATGGAATTATCAAAGTGAGCCTACATAAAAGCCAAGAGGTCTAAGGAAGTTTGTAAGGTGAGTAAATCGACCCTGGTACTATCAGTCTTAGAAGGCTCTCCTGGGCTCCTTCAGTTGTCCTTAGCAACTGGATATATTGATCTGATAAACAAGTGCTGCATAAATGACTGAGGAGGAGTCCTAATAGGCATAAAGAAAGCACAAGGGGCAGAGTGCTGGATTAGGGGCCCTGAGTTCCATTCCCAGCACTAAAAAAAGAAAAAAAGAAAACAAAAAAGCTCCCCAAACCCAGACAGACACCAAACCAAATCAAACCATGTTAAACCAAAACAAGAATCCCCCAAACCAGCCAACCAAACAAAACCAAAAGCTACCACACTCAGCATCTATTAGCATTTGTTCACTGTTGAATATCCCATTGTATGAGTATGTCACATTATATTTACCTGTTGTTTGATGGACAGACATTTCAGTCATTTCTACTTTTTGACTGTTATAAAGTAGGCTTTTCATATACTTCTTACTTGTTTTTAATTTTTATGTACTGTTGAAATAATACTTCAGATATGAATGTCTGTGGCTTGTTGCTATAGCTGTCAAACCGAGGTTGTGTACAGGACACAGACACATTTTGCAGAAGCCTGCAGTGAAAGGCTACCGAGCCCTTCTGCTAGTCCCTCTCGGCTGCTTCATTAGCATCCCTCAGGAGCTTCACGACACTCCTGGGCAGTAACTGAGCATCTTCCCCTTGTTTCCCCACTGCTCACCTGTTGAACCACATAGCACATTGCCTGTGTTCTGTTCCTGAGCTTTGCAACGTCAAGATATATTTTTGTTTCCTGAGCACTCACTGGACACTGCAGATCCCACAGCTGGTCCATTTACCTGTAGCTCTGCTAATCTGGTCCTATTTCCAAAACAACATTACTTGATATTTAAGAAGCAACTGGAATTCTCAGTTATTTTTACTTCAATTTCAAGGCTTTTTCCTTTCCCCAAATCTCCTTGGGCTACAAATTAATCTGAGTCAAAACATGCTTTTAGGAGAAGGGGACTTGAAGCAGAACAAGAACTTGTTCTTTTTGGAAATTGCATATAATTTAACATGGTATAACCTTTGAAGAGGAAATATGACCCACTCAGAGCATCACAGTGGGATTTACGGAGGCTCGATGTCTGAAAGCCCCATCTCAAAGAAAGCAGGTATTTGGTTTCAAATTATCAAAACAGCCTTGTACTCTTCTTGGAGTTATTTTGACATCTAAATAATAGTTCTGGCATTTCTTTTTAGAGTGAAAATCAATAACATTGACTTAGTGCATTCTTTTCTCTTATTTTCACTCTTTACTCTTTTATAATCTTAGATCAAGTATTAATAATTATTTTAAGCCTTAGCTTAGGTTTGGTACTTTGCCACTTACTGATGCAAGAAGTATCTCCCCTTTACTCTTCCTTTTATCAGTTGTCTAACTCTTCAAAAATATTCTTGTTTTAGACAAAGACTATATCTATCTTCAAAAACAGAAATTGATTTAGTGGTTGCTTTGGACATCTTTCTTTTCCTTCTTTCCTAGTTCCCCAGTATAAGAATGTAAATGTGTTTCTCCTTTTATCAAATCCTCCCATTACTAATTGGCTCTGATTTCCCACCAGGATTTCTAGATCTTAAAATTAGCTGGTGCTTGTTGAAGCCACAATTCCCGGGCCTCACCCTAGACCCAAAGAATTGGAATCTCTTGGAGTGAGGATATAGATGGTACAGTTTTTAACAAGTACCTAGAGATGCTTATGACATTAACATGTGAGAAGTTCTTCCATTCACTTTCCTGGTTTGTCAATTCTCTTCTCTCCATTCCAGTGACAAAGTCATTACTGAATTCTTATCTACTGACCTCTAATACTACTATGTTATAAACACATTTTCAAAAATGCTTGCCCCAGCTCCAAAATCCTCATGACTGTCTTTAGAACTCAGTAGGATGTGGCAAGAAATATGATGTAGGTAGAGGTCTGAGAGGCAGAGAGGTGAAAAGAGGTGGGAGAGGTTCTGAGGTCGGTCAGACCTCGTTTGGACTTCCAATTTTGCCACATAAGTAGCTGAGTGGCTCCAGGTGAGTTATTTGACCTTGTAAAACTCAGATTTCTCAGCTCCAGCTGTGTGGTGATAATCTATTCTGCAGGGCTATTTAGGAGTATTAAATAAAGTAACATATGTAGAACTAGGAAGTGCTACCACATGGTAGCTTTTATTGAACTTTAAATTTATTTCTTTTATCTTCATGCCCGAACTCTTAGATTTTTTTGTTGTCTGGGCTCCTTACCTTTTTCTATATTATCCCCTTGAAGAGCCCTTTGAAATTCTCACCTTTAGGTCTTCTTTTTAGATAATCCTCCCTAAAATGATTTAAGGTTATTGAAACATTTTATTCTTGACCTTTTTATAGGTAGTCTAGAAATTTCTCGGGCTGAATCTATAGTAGATATCTGCTCTTCTTTTGTGTTTAGCTCACCTCCTTCCAACACAGCACCTCTCTTCATCCTTGGGGTCCTGCCATTCCTTTCCCATTATGTGCAGTTAGGGGGAACACTGGTGAGACCAACTGGCCTCCTAACTCAAGTGTGCCATTCATGACACCACAGCCTTCCCGCCAGTGATTGGCTCCGTGAGCTGCCATTTAAGAAACGCAGAGCCAATCAGCATTGTTCTCTATAGTTTTCTGTCTCAGATTTAAAGGGAAGCTGAAATTGGCTTCTGGAGCTCGAAGTGTCCTGCGGCTCAGAGAGGAATTCAGGCTGCTGTGGGGTTGGAGGTGAATGTGCAGAGAGAGGACACTGTCTAATGCCTCCTGGTCTTCAGAGGTGCTGGGGCTTCAGGTTCCCTGGTGGCAGAACACATTTCCAATCTTTTCTGAAAGAGATCCCTGTTTTAGAGATGCGCTTTGCTTTTCCAAGCATTTGCAGGTTTCTTAATTCATTGTGTCATGTACTCATTTTCTTTGATAAGTCACGTACATGCTGCCAATGTGATTGAGTTTGGAGCAGAGTTATACCTAAAATCGCTCTTCCCCTCTATCTCATTGGTCCTATGGGGAAGTCTGGGCCATCAAGTGGAACTTTTTATCTAACACAGTAGGATTTTCCCCAGGAGTCCCACATTCCCCTCTATTTCCATTTTCTGTTGGGTTCCCATAGTGGGCCCTGTTTTACTTATCCATGGAGTTAACAGATACCCCAGTAATTTCCTTCCCTCATGATAATTAGTGGATGACATGTGTGTGGGAGGGCGGTAGGTCATTCACTTCCAAAAGCTTCATCCACAGCCTAACCAGGAATTCTGCTACACATACCATTAGAACTGTGGAGAAGTGTGTGTGTGTGTGTGTGTGTGTGTGTGTGTGTGTGTATCGTTCAAGTACAGGAACAGCTAATTATATAGGGGCCATTAATGGACAAAAGTTCAGCAATTTCCACTCCATTTACTTGGAAACTACTTCAGTGGGATGTGGTGGGAATAGCTGGAGGTAGAGATCATGATAAATATGTAACATTTTTTGTCTCTGCCATTGTGCAGCTGTGAACTTCGGACAAGTCAGGAAGACCTTCACTAACAAGGGGAAGAGTTTGGTTTACCTGTACCTCCTACCCTAAAATATATATAGTGATTTTAAAATGAAAATTTAGTGCCCCAGAGTGGATTTTGAATTGTATGCCTTCCAGAGGCCATTATCCTGAAGGATGGAGTCTATTTTTTGAAATGTTGCCTCAGGGGCTAACTCAGGGAACAAGAAAAGGTCAAATGGGTGAATCTTTGTTCTCCTACTGCATGAAGACCTGCTCTATTTTGATTAACTTTATGTATTGAAAAATCTGTATAAAGTTTCATTCATCAAAAGGGCACTGCTGCTAAGAAAAATTAGAAAAAATTCTAGTCTATCTGACCAAGTAAAATTATTTTCATCTTGGCCTAGCCAAACTTACCTTTATGTACTCCCAAAGTAAATTCTCCAGATCCATCAGGCTGATAATCTCATAGCCCTGAAATAACTTCATCCACATCCTTGCTTCCATGGGTTCTATTTGCTGCTTACAAGAATGGAGTCCCTGAAATTACTAAACTTGGCTTCATTTAGCAAGGCAGTGCATAGGGTTAGGCTAATCATGCAAATGAGATTACAATGCTAGTTAGCTAGAGGGATAGGTCCAAAGTAGCTAATAGCTCTATCTGTTTCTTTGTTTTTTTTTTTTTTGGTACCGTGGATCGAACTCAGGACCTTGTGCTTTCGAGGCAGGCGGTGGCACCACTGAGCTAAATCCCTGGCTCTATCTGTTTCTGATACAACACCTTTGCAGGGAGGGGCTTGGAGGAGTGGGCTTCCCTTCTGTGAAGTATGAGTGAAGTAGGGAATGACACCAGTGTCAACTTAGGGGCTGCTGTATCTGGAGGGCTTATAAAATTTGCTCAGATCAAGTCATTTCTTTCAATAGTCACCTGGAGATGGGGTTGAGCAGTGACAAAGCCATCAGCACCTCCTCCATAGCTCTTTCTGCTTCAGAAAGCCTTGGAATGCAAGGGCTACAGGTCACTCTGTCTCTGGGTTTCTGGGAGCCAGGGAAGTGAGTGTAGGACAGGCCTATTCCTCCCTTCCAGGTACACCATCACCTTGCAAATGTGTGGATTTAAGGGATGTTAATGGAAGGAGTTTAATTAAGATAAATTACACCATAAGAGGTAAAGAAGCTAGGTGTGGTGGTGCATGCCTGTAATCCTAGGATTCTGGGAGGCTGAAGCAGGATGATTGGAAGTTTGAACCTAACCTGGGCAATATAGTGACTTACAAGACCCTACCCCCCCCCCCCCCAAAATAGGCTGGGAATGTAGCTTAGTGTGAAGGCCTTGGGTTCAATCCTCAGTACAAGGAATAAAAAAGAGGGAAATAATGGTAACACTTTTTATGTAAAATACACCATAGAGTTCAACCTCTTTGTGGCAAGCAACTTGATTGGCTTGAGTGCTCCCTGGGGGATTAGGAAAACACATTTCTGAGTGTGTCTGGGTGATCATGGAGGTGTAACCCTGAGCACTGTATATGCTCCCTGGCCCCTTCCTCTCTGGTACTGTTCCCATGCTTCCCAACCACTGTGAACTAAGCTCTGCTGCACACTTCTGCCATGATGTTTCTGCCTTGGAGTCAGTCAACCATAGACTGAATCCCCTGAAATCATGAGCCAAATTAAACTTCTTCTTTAAGTTGTGGATGTTGGGTATTGTGTCTCAGGATGGGAAAGCTGACTGATACACTCATCATGAACATGCCTTTGTTTCCAATACAGCTCCTCTGGCCTAAAGCGTCCTTTCTCATCTCAGCCTTGTCTGCTTTAGCATCAATAGTGTTGGCATAAAAATGAGTCGAGTGACTGGATTAGCACCTGAGTCTGGTTCTAAGGATGGAAGAGACCCTGGGGCATTATAGAATGTACCAGCTGAGATGCCCACTGTGCAGATTAGAGGATGGGGTCTCAAGATCTGGTTTAAAAAGGTTATTTTCGGGAATACAATCCATATTAAAGGCTGTGTCATTGAGGGAAAGACAACAATAACAATCATTCTAAAGCTACTACAGATTTACTTCTTGCTGTGGTCTAGCTTAGGAGCTTCCGACACATGGATCCAATTATTCTTCACAGCAAGCCTGTGAGAATTGTATTAAAATTTCCATTTCCAGATGAAGAAACTGAGGCCGTGTGATTGGTAACCTGCTCAAAATCACAGTTTATTGATGACGTTTGACTTCAAAGCCTATGTTTTCCCTGTTATCTCTTTATCCATCAATAGAGGGAAAATGAAATGAGTCACTGGAGATGCTGAAAGGCTGGCTACAAGACACAAGAAGGCAAAGAGAGAGTAAAGGTTCAGGTTTTCATCTACTGTCTTGGCCATGTTGAAGGAAACAATGAGCAAAGCAGACCCAGTCTCCCTGTGTCTCTGTGTCTCTCTCTGGAGATTGAATTCAGAGCCTTTGCACTGAGTTACATCCCTAGCCCTTGTGATTTATTTATATTTTACTCTGAGATAGGATCTTGCCAAGTTGCCCATGCTGAGCTTGAATTTTCAATCCTCCTGCTTCAGTCTCCCAGAGTGTTGGGATTATAGGCATGCACCACCATGCCCAGCACTAGTTCCATTTTAATTACCTCTTTTTTATTTTATTCTGGAAAAAATATCCCAACATGAACTATGCCTATGTCTCTAGTTCCTGCAAATCAACTTTTTTTTTTTTTGGTACCGAGGATTGAACTCGGGTCCTTGCACTTGTGCAGCAGGCGGCAAAACCACTGAGCTAAATCCCCAGCCCCAAATCAACTTATTTTTATTGTGAGGAAAACAAACATATTAAGAAATTTAAGCATAAAAATTAGCTCTCAAATATATTGAGAGAAATCTGCTTGCTTAACCATTGAATTCCTTATAGAATATTTGTCATTTTTGAGCAGTGAGTATCAGTTGCCTGAATATGTCAGGTGAGTAGTAAATATATTTATTGTCAAGGACATCTTTGATATGTTAAAAAATGAACTGATATTAGTTTCCAGATTTTATGGACGTCCCATACTATAATATTGTGGGGTATTTGAATCTGTTAGACGACCCTTTTATTTCCTAAACTTGGATTTTTTCTCCTTACATTTTTGATTGATGTCCGTGCCAGCAAGGTGATGAGTCTTTCTTTGAGAGCTGCCTCCTCCCTCTCTTTCCTTCCTCAGTGATGTACAAGCTTCCATGAAGATGGCTCTACACTTTCCCCATGGCTGTTTGGACCCCTGGGAGACAGACTGAGCCAATCCTCTTTCCTGGCCATTTGGAATTGGGTCTCAGAATTATGAATACCAAGGGGCATGTGGAAATCCAGAAGTCATGGAGTGGCCACTTGTGGTCCTTGGAATCACAAGTGGCCCTCTTCTACAGGGGTGAAGTGAGGCAGAGAATAAAGTTCTGCAGAGAGGGAAGAATTAAATAATTAATCAAAGAGAAGCAGAGGTAAGAGCGATGAGAACTGGTGGATTCCTTGTTCTTCAGTCCCTCCTGAAGTCTGACTATTCTTGTGCTCTATCAGGGACCTCATCAGCCTTTGTACAAACTTAATTTTCTGATTAAAGTAGCCCAAATTGGGTTCTGTTACTTGTTAAGCAAAGAACCTTGACTAAGATAATCTTCATTCCGTTTCCAACATCCAGAGTTGGGTAGGTCCTGGGGCAAATGGTTGCACTAAGAAAATTCTAGAAATTAAAAAAATCTGTGATGAACATTTCAGAAGCCAATAAACAAAGAAATAAATAGTCTAAAAGTGTTTGAAGTGAGAAGTTTCTCTCTTCATTTTCATGGAAGATCTAAAATCATTGAGCCGAAAATCAGGAGAACAAATTATCAAACTCAGAATGAAACTATCAACCAGTGTTTCTTGAAAGGGTTGTTCTCAGCTTCTTAAAATTGTGACAATCACAAAATTGATTAAACAGGGCACATATACTATTATTACTTTCATGTGAAACATCAGTCTACCTATTAGTAGACTCACAAAGCACACCAACTAAGTGTTTATTATGTTTGAGTATACCTTCAGGAAGTTTAAAAAGAGGTACACAATGGATACTTAGGCTTCTGAGCTTTTTTTTCTTTAAAGACCCTTTGATTTCCTTTTAACTTTCTTTTTCTTTCCGTTCCTTAGTTTGCTCATCCCTTTGAATCTAAGGGACATTGGTCCCAGAACACCCGTATGGATATAAAAATCTGCAGATGTTCAAGTTATTTATATATAAAATGATTCATGAGGGCTGGGGATTTAGCTCAGTGGTTCCGCCGCCTGCCTTGCAAGCACAAGGACCCGAGTTTGATCCCCAGTACCTAAAAAAAAAAAAAAAAATGATTCATGTAACCTATGTATGTTCTTCTGTATACTTAAAATCATCTCTGGATTACTTATAACACCTAATCCAATATAAACATGTT